TCTCTCTCTCTCTCTCTCTCTCTCTTTCTCTCTTTCTGTATTTCATACAGGATCTACAGGGTCTCAGTACACAGATCAGACTCGTAGTGATCCTTCTATTTTCAGCCTCCAAGTGCTGGGATTACAGGCATGCACCACTAGCCTAGTCTCAATTGCTGTCTCAGTGCACCCCGGGGGTGGGGCCAACACAGCACACCAGAGATCAAACCCTGGCCCTTAGGCTTGCCTAAGCAGACACTTTGACCCACTGAGCTATCCGGATAAACTTGACCCAAGTTTATCTTTCTTTATGGCTGAGTAATACTCCATTGTATAACAATTCCACATCTTTTTTTATCCAGTTGACGGGCTTTAAAATTTTTTTTCCAGAAAAATTAGCTATGACAAATTGTGTTGCTCTGAACATGGGTTCACACATATCACTGTGGTATGATGTTTTCAATTCTTCTGGAAAAATAGTCAGAAAGGGAAAGAGACTAAGTAATTTATAAGACATTTATTGAGTTCGTGGTTGGAGAGGCTGAGCGGCCCAAGAACACAGCGCTGGTGTTTGACGATGACCTCGTGCTGCTTAATCTCCTAGTGGAAATGGAAAGGCAAGCAAGCATGTGCAGGAGCGCTTACATTACCAGAATACAAGAGCTGACCCCTTGGGCGAGCAGCCGCCTACCTTTGTCAGAGTAGAGCCCTGCCTCCCAACACTGCCACGTGGGGAATTAAGTTTCCAACACAGTCAAAACACAGCATTCTAAGGGTTTCTCAATTGTTTTTATGCTTTTGAAAAAGCCATACTTAATCTTACTGATTTTTTTCATGTATTTAGGACAGGATCTACAGGGTCTCACTACACAGATCGGGGACTTGTAGTGATTCTCCTGTTTCCAGCCTCCCAAGTGCTGTGACGCGGGCACACACTACCATGACCAGCCTCAATCCATCTCAGTGTGCCCTGGGAGCAGGGCCAGCACAGAACACCAGGGATCGAACCCTGGCCACTGTGGTCTGCCTAAGAGGTGCTTTAGTCTGCTGAGCAATATGGCCGGCCC